AAGGAAGTTCCCTTCATCAGAGGCCAACACAAGTTTTCCGCACTGTCACTACATAAATATTAAGTAAATTACAATTATGTTAAATTAAAGGAATGACTAAAATGACATAATATTCACACTGAAATAGGGTGATATGGCCCTTTTCACTCATAGAGCATTCATTATGCAGAGGTGAAGGAAAACCTAGAGGCGCGTAATGTTTCACAAATTATCCAAAGAAAGTGACATTTAAATGGATAATAATGAACTTTGACGGAAGGTGCATGCATGATGGGTGCATATCCGAGAAAATCGGCATAGCGACAAAGATTTAAGGTTTAATTTCTCCGAAATAAGCACAGTAAATTTTTTGATTCACGCTCTTGTTATTAATCAAGCTCGTTTTTGACCCATACGTACCGCGGTGTAATTAATAGTATTTCACCCGGTTAACTGGCCACCTCCTGACATATGTATTCCCATATTTCTGTAAAATTCTTCAGTGATCAGCCAGAAGATTAAAGCTCTCAAAAATCATTGAAGAGCCATATCACTCTTTCCTAGTGGCTACGGGATTAATCGCAACCCTCTCTATGGAAATCAACCAAGACGCTACTTAGACTTTTAATAGCCTCGAATTCACGCGCAACTTACAACAGATCCCGACCACCGCACCTTCGCCGTTTGCCCTGTTACTTTTACCTATGGGAAAGAATACGTTTGACTATACCAAAGACCGTAGAAAGCAATGGAGGAAGGAGAAGAAGCCTATTGTTATCAAAAAGTAACAAAATTTTCAGCGTTTTATTCCAAATAGTCCTATTTTACAGAAGTCATGGGCGCCTAATATGTCTGTGAAGGCAAATTTTGAGAAACTTGGTCTCGCCTTCAACCCAAACCAGGCTGTCGGAGATTTGGTACGTTGGATTTTATTAAAATTTGATCGTCGCTTTAGGAATCCGAAGTCAAATCACAGTTTTTGACCGAGACATCCACTGTGAAGGGTAGTTTTTACGTTGTGGGACACTAAAGTTTCATAGAACTGAAAAAGGTGAAGAGTTGCTCTAAACAGCGTGAAAAATTCATATCAGAAGATGACCGTTTATTCTCTATGTATATGATAGAACTCTATGGTGACGACCATAAGGTAATTCATTTCTTTGTATGCGTTTATTTCGTAGGCCATGTCTAGAGACCCTAAAAATGTTTACCAACTAACGCCCACTCAAATTCGTCGGCTAATTGAAAGGTTTCGATCTTCTCACTATTTCAAAGACTACTTGGACCAGAAACAGAATAATTCTTTAAGAGTTCTTGAATTATATAATGCGTAAAACGTGCCCTTTACCTTGGTTTTCTTTCTACCGAAACCCACAGTTCCCTCTTTTTGCATGACCGTTATAAAAGATTTATTCCACCCCAGCCAGGGAGAGGGGGCTTAGTGCATACATTTTCATAGCGAAGAAAATCTAGTCGCATACTTCCTCACTCGCACACTATGTCGCAGTGGCCATACCAAATGGGGCCCGTGCATTGCGCACACCGCACACGTCGTAGGCCATATGAACTGCTCTTCAAAAAGCACAGTTCAAAATGTCTGTTTATATCGGAAGATCTAGTGAGATGGATGCTCCTGTTAAGCGCATAGCTCCACCCTTAACAGAAGAAACATGCATGGCAATTAATTAAAACGTGGTCATTGAAAGAGCATAGTTTTAACCAAGATGACGTTTTGGAAGTGTAAGTAAACGCTGAGGCGCGGGCTGACACGGACATTATCGCCAAATAAACGAACAAGGTATGTACATGGCAATAACTATTTACGGGAATAAATGAAAATCTGTCCAAGCACGAATAAGTTAAGAGTTTAGAATGCTTACGACAATGTCTTTAAAGTGTATAGGATTGGAGGATGCGAAACCGCGACTGTTATGTCGACTGTCATTGGTGGAAATACCGGCTTTCTCACTTCTATTGCATTTAAAATATCCATTATCCTTTCAAAATCCGGACGGACAGTAGCATAGGTTGTTACGAATTCATATTAAAGCAAGCATCTCTTATGGAGACAGCACATTTTATTAAGCCTGAAATACCCTTCTGGTGATAATTAGTGGAAGGAGGAGACAGAGTTGACTGAATAGGGCGTGCGCAATCCCTGAGGCTGATCCCTAGACAATAGCACGCACCCTAATGGAATCGTGGAGTTGGCTGGTATTTAACGTGGGTTTTTCGAGGCGCCTGAATCTCACTAGCAGTGTTAAGTTAGTATGGTTGCATCTTTGAGACCCGCGACGCATGCATTGACTTTAATTCCCACCTGGCGTTTTTTTTACGGTTTGCTATATTACGGGTATCATGTTGGCTCTGTTTTGTTTTCGGAATCATCACAAAGCTTTTATGAAAATCCCCCCTCAGGTGTGCACTCAGGCAATTAAGCATGCAGGCAAATATGTCGCCAAGAGAAGCCCTACAGTGGTTGTTGCAGATGTCTCAGTTGTTTATAGACATGGACGATGATTACATCCTTTAAATTATACATGATTTCTCTGTCCGCGTCTCGAACAAGGCCAATTTGTCAGGTAATTGAGGACCACCATGTGGTTAAACTCCCGTTGGATTTGAGACGGCACGCGCATCACTGCTAG